AGGATTCAAACTACCTAGTCAGCCTTAACATCCACACCATCTTCTGGCGCTCATTTCTCTCTTAAGACATACTTGGACACAGTCAATTCAAATGAATTTTTTTAAAGTACCTACAAACTACTAAGTATACACTACCATTTCATTATCCTCACTGTCATAAATTATGATTATCTTAATTTTCTCCAAAAGAAATTTTAAGTTTTGAGACTAGCAGTTAGCGTAATGGCTATGTCGCTGGACTCCCATGAAGTCGATTGTGGTTCAAGTCCTGGACCTGGTGGCTTAAACTCACACCGGGCACGTGTGCATGAGTGCCCAAGATCCCGAGAGGAAAAATGGAGGAGAAGGGATTGTGGCGTGGCCATCCCCCCGGGGGATAATTTCTCACTTTCTGTCTCCCTGTCTCTCTCTTTCTGGCCAGCGCACCTTGCCCAGCGCACATTCCCTATAGAAAAAACCCCTCAAAAAAAAAAAAAAAAAAAAAAGAAATTTTAAGTTTTAGAGAATAAATCCACATTCCCTAAGTATTCACTAGTCTCAAAACTTTCTTCTCTCAATTTCTGAAAATTTTCAAAGAAATTGATAATTGTCAGTTAATACATTACTTAGGGCCTGCATCAGTATAACACTCAATCATCTATATTCCCTACCATCACTTTGCTATCACTAAAAGGAAATATACCACATTAATAAAGAGTGTCAATATAATGTAAGGTCTAAAAAGTATCTTTCCCCATTTATTTTCCTTTTATTGTCCTAAATTTTTTTTTCTATGAGTACCTATCTCTTTAATTACAAAGTTCAAAAAAACCACACACTGCCTTGTTCTAGCATTACAAATGTTTCATACTCTGCTGTACTGAATGTACCATTGCATCAACACCTTTTTAAAAAGTAGTAATTTGCAGGGCCGGCAGGTAGCAAGTTAGTTGAGGCAGCTGGACTCCCACATGGTTGACCAGTTTGAGTTCTGGACCTGGCAGCTAGCTTTCTCACCTTCCTTATCTCTCGCTACCTCTATCTGGTCAACTTCAAAAAAACAAAATACAAAATAATGACAATGAATAAAATTAAATAAAAAATAATTCAAATAGTAGTAATTTACAATTATGTAAAAAACTTATCTCAATAATTTCTATTTAAAAACATACATTTTTATTGTTATTTATTTATTTATTTATTTATTTGGAGAGGTTTTCGCTATAGGGCGCATGCACTTGCCAGACAGACAGAGAGAGACATAGAGACAAAAAGCGAGAAATCAGCCCCCAGGGGGGATGGTCACACCGCAATCCCTTCTCCTCCATTCTCCTCTCGGGATCTTGGGCACGCATGCACACGCGCCCGGCGTGAGTTTTAAGCCACCAGGTCCGGGACGCGAACCGCAGTCGACTACGTGGGAGTCCAGTGACATAGCCATTACGCTAACTGCTGGTTCCCCCTTTTTTATTATTATTATTTTCTTAATTTGCTATAGAGCACTTGCACTTATCAGAGAGAGAGAGACAAAGAGAAAGTGAGAAAGCAAACCACCAGGGCCAGGACTCAAACCAGTCAGCCATATGAGAGTCCAGTGCCTTATTCCCCACACCACCTCATGCCCATCTCGATCATTTCTGAAAAATACATTTTACTTAAAAACTTGCTTAAAAGTTTTTTTTAAGAATTATTTTATTTATTTATTTTAATTCAACCAGAGGAAGTGAGAAAAAAAGAGAGAGAGAAAGTGAGAAGGCAAGCCACCAAGTCCAAGACTTGAACCACAGTCAACTATGTGGGAGTCCAGTGCCCTCAACTATCATGCCACCTGCCAGCCCCAAAAGATTTTTTTTTAAAAGAGAAACTATAATAGCATACTTAAAATAGATGTTTTCAGTCCTCAGAATTTAAAATTGCTAGCATTAGTAGCAATTCAAATCTGAACAATATAACTGTAAGTCAAGACTCATTTAGCAATAATTCTAAAGACTAAATGAGAAACTGGAACCACCTCATTAAAAAACAAACCAAAAAACAAACAAAACAAACAAACAAACAAAAACTTCAACAATATAAATACTTAATTTCATATTCTGGATTTCAAATTAGGCCAGCATCAGAAAACTTGTAAATTCCATTTGTATGGAAAACTGGGTGGAATAATTATCTATATATTATCTAAATTATTTATACTTTTCCTTCCTTAAAATTTCTTTTATCTGTTTTAATTACAGAAGCAACCCATTAGGGGGCAAGCAATTGTACAATACTCCAGGAGGCTAACCCACATGGTTAGGTCTCAGGTTCACATCAGAGACCTCCCTGAAAATGCCAGGCAAGTATGCATTTGTTAGGGGCTGAGACACCCCCTCACCCCTACCACCCTACACTGGTGTCTTCCCTGTCCCCAACTTTCATTCTTGCTCTC